TCCCCCCTCTTATTTACTATTTTATTTTATAGGTATGTGTAAGTTGATAAGTAACAACCTCTTTCTGTAGATACCTTTCGTGAGAACATGATCCTTCCCTTGCCGTCATTCCACATCTTCAAAGCCAATTCACTTAGATCCTCATGTGTACTTCTAAAGCTAAAGAAGTGCTGCTATATAACCACTTGGTATCTAAACTACTTTAATAGTATCTCTGATCCTCACAAATCGTTCCTCTGTCGGCCAAAGCTACTCCCCTGTGACAGCAGACTATTGGCACCTAGTTTCCTAATGTCATGCACAATGTGTATGATGAAACCTCCAAGATGTCTCACCATAAGGAGGGATCCTCATACATAGAAAAGGATCCAATGAATTTGAAATGATTCAACAACCTCATTTTGGGAGGGTGAAAACATTAAATAATATCAGAAGTGCAAAAATGATCAAAGAATTTTCGGCCCCGGAGAATTCTAAGGTACTGAAGAAGTAAGGAACTTCATTTTTTTCCTTTTTGATACACATGAAATTCACTGACAAAGTAATGTTTATTGGTGAGAAATACAGTATGTAAATAAGTCTGTACAGTTATGTATATAGAATTACAAAGTACATCAATTTAGTGGATATTTCCCAATTACTTGCACTAATATATAAGTAAATATCATGTAAATTTGTCATGGTTTTTCGTGGAGTCCATATATTCATTTGACACAAAAAAGAAGTATTTGAGGTATGTTTCCAACTTCTTTTGAAATGATTCTTAGTTCCATTCATCGGAAAGTTCATGGCGGTCAATTCTCTAGAACATCATACACAAAATTCAAAAGAGAAAAGTCCTCACAGAAAGGATTTTTGGTACATCCAAAAGTTCTGCAATGACTAAAAGTTAAAAGAAAGGAGTCATTACCCAGAAGGTGCAGTTGGCATCCAACTTTGCTATGGTTTCAACAAGTACATTTATTAGTAACATATTCCATGTATTCAGTTAGCTGACCCTTCTTCATTCTCAGGAAAGAGAAATTGAAGGTCTTCATTGTCCCTGTACACTTGTACCAGAGCAGCTGCTTTATATGCAAACAACCCGACCATAGCAGGAACCAGCTGTTACGAACACAAAACATATGTCACATTAACTTATGAACAACCACAATCAGAGGAATCAAACAGAGGATAGCTTAAATAAGTCAAGATTCTAAAGGTTTAAATAGGTGTTAATTCAAATGCTATAAATGTACACCTGGAAATCAAAAAGATCATGGGCAAAATGCTGACACAATTCCCACAATCCATATATTGCTGCAGGAAACACAAGCCTTGGAGATGAAAGAGCAATGCTGCTACCTTTAACCGATCTCTCAAAAAAATCCTGCAGATCTTGGCTTCGTATTCCAATTCTGAGGGGAAGAAATATCAAATCACTTCAGTCAGTCAAGTTCACCATTCTTATGTGGAGCATAACCAAACAAAGACATAGTAATGACATTACTTCTTTAGTTTCTTTTTCTTAAAAATCTCAGGAACTGTCTCTTGTGAGAGGTTGTCTGCATGTTGGCAGAGGAGCTGCAGGTACACATAACTGCATAAGAAATTACAGACAGCATTACCACAATGAAATAAACCGAGCCGAATATGATGCGGCCGATTTTATCGAAACATATCCTCAAGAAAAGAGAACAGTTCAAATGTGAAGATTCTATCATAACTAGGTACTTGTAAGGACTAGATGATGTAAAAGCAATTTTCTTAATATTCTAACCTATCCATTTTTACCTGCCTATATGTGCCAAACTAGGTTGTTTACAAGTACTAGGGGATGATCTATAAAGTATAAACAGAATAGATAGAGTAAAAAATAGATCTAAATCATACCTGAAAACAACTCCCGTTGCATAGCTCAATGCAGCCTACGAATTGAACAAGTAAAATCTGTCAGTCCACTGCAGATGCAGGTTTGTACTGACCTGGGACCTCTTTCATAAGGTAGACAAGAAAATAACCCAGTGAAAAAAGAATAACAAAACAAGTTGAGCACGACCAACACAGAATACTTGGAGTGCAAGTTTAGTGACGTGGCTGGGGAGGCTGATATTGAAGTGAGGCTGGGCACACAAGTTATACCAAAGAGAGATAGTTTTAAGTATCTTGGGTCTATAATCCAAGGAAATGGGGAGATTGACGAGGATGTCACAGATCGTATTGGAGCGAGATGGGTGAAGTGGAGGCTTGCATCCGGCGTTTTGTGCGACAAGAATGCACCGCCAAGACTTAAAGGTAAGTTTTACAATATAGTCGTTAGACCGACCATGCTGTATGGGGCGGAGTGTTGGCCAATTAAGACCTCTCATGTTCAGAAGTTAAGGGTGGCGGAGATGAGAATGCTGAGATGGATGTGTGGTCACACTAGGAGGGATACGATTAGGAATGAAGATATTCAAAATAAGGTGGGAGTGACCTGTATGGTGGAAAGATGCGGGAAGCTAGACTGAGATGGTTCGGTCACGTGAAGAGAAGAAGCGTGGATGCCACTGTGAGGAGTTGTGTGAGGTTGGCTATGGTGGGTTCAAGGAGACGGCGTGGTAGGCCGAAGAAATATTGGGGAGAGGTGATCAGACAGGACATGACACATCTTCCGCTTACCGAGGACATGACTCTTGATAAGGGGTGTGGAGGTCGAAGATTAGGGTTATAGATCAGTTAGTGGTCGAGTTTATTTCCTTTTCACACATGTACTTCCTTCCCTAGCTGTAGTACTAGTGATACCTTGTGTTCATTAATTTTACATCGATATTTTTATCTTCACTTCGTTTTATTTTTCTTATTGTTGTTACTATTTCGTTTGCCGCAGTTCTCTGTCGTAATTGCTGTGATTTTGCTGTATTGACCGGAGGGTCTTTCGGAGACAACCTCTCTACCTTCACAAGGTAGGGGTAAGGACTGCGTACATACTACCCTCCCCAAACCCCACTTGTGGGAATATACTGGGTATGTTGTTGTTAAAACAAAACCAGCTTTTTTAGTCAAGAAAGCAGTGGAAATGTAAAGAAGTTTCCAATTGGAACAAAAATTGGGCATCAATGGTTACTGCAGCTGTTGTGAGATGTTCTACTAAAGTTGATTGGGTAGTTTATTATAAGAAGACTGTAAAAGAGAGTATGAAACTCGGCGTCTCGTTCTCTCCATTGTAAGCTTTCCCAATTGCAGTAAATCAATCACCTATTGTGATTTGCGTGCATGTGCTCTCACTGCTCCCCAAGCTCAAGTGAAGATTTAGGCAAATATAGCACAACTAATAATGGCCATTAATGCTTCTTTATTGATAAGTAACATGGCCACTAATGCTTCTAAGGTTATACTATATGCCTTCTATTATAGAATGTCTCGAGCTCAGAACCTCTTCTACCAAATACCTGGACTGATAAAGCTACCAAACAATATCCACTGCAAGCAGTCCCAATGCCCACCGTTAAGTAAAGTAGCTCCTTCTTAAGCTGTAAGAGAAACAGAAAATGCTTTATACCTTGTAGATTTAGAACATAACATAGTTCATTTGCAGATATCTTTGCTGTGCGCTTCAACAATCTTTTAATTGGGATACAATTTCATTGAACCATGCTTTCATAGTGAGAGTAATAACATTTGAAATCCTTTCCTTGTCACTTTCACATACTCTTAGGAGCAGGTGAAATGTTATCCAGGTATAGCCTAAGGTGCCTTCTACTTAAGAATTACCATCTTTCATGCTTTATGACACAAAATTATTAGAAGACACCTGAAGAAGTCCAGCCAGCAACTGCAAGAATATGCAAGCAACCATAATTAACTACCCATTTTATTCTTAAAGTCAGTAAAGGTCTTGTAAATCACTGAATAGCTCAGACTAAGCATGCATAGAGTAGGTGTTCGTAGAAACATCAGCCATTCAGATTCTACCCTTTATCAATAAAATTTCTCTAATAATATCCCCTTTTCTCGAACAACCATAAAAAGAATATTGAAAGCAGGAGATAATACTAATACAGAAGAAAAATCACAGAGTGATAACAATATACAAGAAGCCGACTTTCCTTTGGACACCGTTTCGCCACAAGTAAATAAGACAACATGAATCACAATAATGATGATAACCCGGAAGAGAGATTACGAGTAGAATCTCTACTATCTAAACCGACTACACTAGTATTCCAGTGCTGCCAAATATAAACATTTATTATTATAAATATAAAGAGCAGGAATTTAGTAGGATGCTTGGCGGATACATACAGCTTCATATCGGAGAAAGTTTAGCCTTTTCCTTCTTTCCCTATCATCTTGTATTTCCTGTGCATATCATTAGAAGCATCAATAGCAAAATTATTACTAATACTCTTTCCCTTGCTCATAATTAAGAATATCCAAAACTCCACTAAAAATAGAAAAAAAAGAACTTGTAAATAAACACCTTAAGGGTCCTCTTTTTATTAACTGGCGCCGTGGCATCACCTGAAAGCCACTCTTTAGTACTTTTCAATTTCAAAAACCCACCTTCATTATCTTCTCCTGATACCTGCATTTGCATTTTCTTGGTTCAATATTCAAATATGAAGCAAACAAACACCAAAAACCCATAAAACAAAAAGGAAATATTCAGTTATAACACTGAGAGTGTAATAAATTTTTTATACCTATCAATATAATTTAACCTTTATAACAAGTTACTTAGCATTTAGTCTAGATTACCGATCACCGCTATTAAATAGTGTTACCTGCAATTATCTTTTGAAGTGAATTGATTGTGTAAATATTTTTTACACCGTCAGTGCATAAAACATTTTAAAAAAAAGGTAGGCATGAAAATACCTCTTGTGACTGTGTAGCCTCAGTTGCACCATTTCCAGCTTCTAAAGAATCAAAATTTACCACATTTCTGAGCCAAATTCTATCAGAAATTCTGGATATAATATCCCCATTTAGCTCTCTTTCCCTTAAGAAATCTTGAAAAACGTCATCCACTGCAACTTCAGTCACTGAGGCAAAAACAATTTTAAAAAAAATGGAAATCACTCAAATGGGTAGTTACAAACTTACAATGCTTTCAACAAAAAGTAAAATTTAAGTAAAACAATTACCGGGTCGAGAGGTTTTGAGGACAGAGAGTGTTGTAGTGAATCTGGGGTGGGACCGGCAGCGACGCGGCGGTGAGGTTAAAGGGGAGAGAAACTGAGAGTGATTGGAAAAACACAATGGTAACATTTCAGTTCGTATATATGATATGGAATTCATATACTAATGCTATACTTTGGAATTTGACCCAAAAAGAAAAGGAATTTTTTTTTTGGGTACAATTCTTTTTTTGGAGTGGACAATTTGAAGCTAGCTAGTAGCTTCCCTTTTATCCTCTGAAAGTTGTTCTGAAATTTTTGCTTGATAAAATGGCCAAGACGCCAAGTCCAAGTTGCACATTGGAGAAGGGAAATATCTTCTTTTCCTGTCCTTTTTTTTAAAAAAAATTTAAATTTATTTTGTTTTCTTGGTGAAAATGCTGGCTTTTAAAAAAATGGTAGTACATCTTTTTTTTAACTACAAACAAAAAGGCCAAATAAACAGTCACTTCTACTTCATCTTGTTTGGAATTGAATGGATTTAGGAGTTATTTGGTTGTCATATTAATTATCCAGGAATTATAAATATAAAATTATTTATGGGGAAAATGTAACAGAAGAATTATTATATCGAGATTTATAATATTAATATAATTATTCATAATTAATAAAAGAATTGTTATATAGCGGTTACTTACTTGTACTTTAAGACTACTTCAAGGATACTTATTTTGAAATATTGGAATAAATTACATGCATTCTTATTTTATATTTCTATGCATAAAATAATATATAAATTCTCACATAATTTAATATGAGTATTATTTAATACTGCTAATCAAACATTGTATCGAGTTATGTAAGTATTATTTTTTATACGATCAGCCAAGCGTTACATTAATTATGGTGGGATTCTTTTTTATAATCCACCCAATCAAATATTGTATTAGTTTATGATAATTTTACGTTGACATTTTTTTTGCTAATACCTCTAATCACAAATAAAGTTATGCAATTATTAATAATCTATGGATCGTATGCGATGATTTTAATATAGGGAGTAAAGCATGTATTAGTAATGCAATAATTTATAATGCAATGGTTAATAATACAGAGAATGTAGTGTTCTTATTGGATGTCTGGTTTGTTATAGATTATCATGTATAAATTAGTGTACTTATTTTAAAAAATAAAATAAAAGTTTAATTTAGAGGAGAAAGAAGATATAAATTGTAGAAGGGTTTCTTGCCACATTTTTTAATTCATATATCATTAATAATTATATTCTTAGTCCATATTCTACCCCTATAAGATAACACACAAATTCTACATAACTTATGTGCCCTTAAAATTATTATTGTTATTATTGTTATTATTATTATTATTATTATTATTATTATTATTATTATTATTATTATTATTATTATTATTATTTCTATCGGAAACAACCTCTCTACCTTTTCAGATAGGGGTAAGGTATGCGTACACACTACCCTCCCAGACCCCACATGTGGGAATATACTGGATATGTTGTTTTATTATTATTATTATTATTATTATTATTATTATTATTATTATTATTATTATTATTATTATTATTATTATTATTATTATTATTATTATTATTATTAATGTTTACTTGTAAAATGATACATTTGAATTTATACGTGGTTTATAGATAAGTGAATCGATTTGATCCAAAAATAATAGATGGATTAGACAAAAATATAAGACTTAGCCTTGAAATTGAAACAAGACAACATATATCTTAGTCCCGGATGTAGAGCTTCCGGGGCAGTAAGAACAATATAAGTACGCAAGAAAGTAAGATGTTATTGAGCTTTTTAATAGAATACAATGTATGCTTGTCAGAAAATTTGTGTCCTTACAAGGATGATAGATATCACTATTTATAGATTGTACCTAGGGAATAAGGTCTTAGGATCAAGCCCCTCTCTAATGATAATTACGGGGCCATTGAAGAATGTATAACGGTGAGTAGTGAATGCTATATTCGTTGTAACGGAGCATGCACTTAATGTTATGAAATATTCTTCGTTGAATGATATCGGATGGCAGGCATTTATTTTGCCTTTATGAATATCATTCTCTCCGATGACAAGCGAGATCATTGCCTTCAAGTTTGATTGTCTTCTGTCTTCGGCTCAACGTGTCGCTTTCTCATGCGATCATAAAATATGAACATATTTTATCCCATATAGATAGTCCCCGTGCTTTCCGGTGGCATAACTTTGTGTCACCGGAAAGTTGGTAGAGATACCTTTCTTGACAAAAAATTCTCTGACATCCTCTGAAAAGTTTATGGCGGTTGATTAGACGCACATCTCTCCTCATTTAATACCCCGAACACATGTCATCCTTCGATTCAGCATTACTTTTACCGGTTATCGAGGTAATTATGGCCACAATTTTAGCCGCTTATTCCTTTACTTATACGCATCAAACTTCTTCATTTACGCTTTATAATTCTTCAAACTTTATCAAGCTATTTTTACTTAACTCATACTTTATCTTCAACCTTTATTTAACCTTCTTCTTGAGAGAAAAACTTTCCTTCTTTTCTGATAAAAATTACTTCTTATTCAAAAAACCCTAGTTCTTCAAAGAACAAAGGTAAGGCCGATGATGCTCCTCCTCCTACGATTTTCTGCCGCTAATCCTCGCACGTAGGCTGTCGGCGTATATCCTTCTTCCATCCGTCCTTCCAGCATTCCCGTTGTGAAGGAAGACTGTCATTGCCAAGATTTAGATATTATCACTCCTGATCTAATGAAGAGGATAACCTTACCCAAGAAGGGCTTTACGTATTTTTATACGTATCCTTTAACTTTGGGGCCACTCTCTATGAGCAGTGAGCTTGACTCCGTTATTATGAAGTTTTGCATCCGTTACCAGGTATGCCTGGTGCAAGTAAGTCCTTCTGTGTGGAGGACAATCAATTGTCTTTGGCGCCTGTGCCACGAGATGGGAGAGGAGCTAACCTTAGCTCGATTAATAAATCTTTATTCCCCGAAGATTTTTCGCGAGGGAACGATAAATTTCAGCAAACATGGCCACCATGCCCTACTAGCCAGCATGGATGATGACATCGACCGTAGATGGATGGAACAGTTTGTTGTAGCTGCCACCAAGGACATCATTCTAGCCACGACTTCATCCTTTCCGGAATTGTGGAACCGTACACGTAAGTTCATCGCTTGTTTATTCTTCTAGCTAAAGATCATCCCATGTAGTTACTGATTTTTATTCTTTTATTTGCTTCATCAACTTAGTGGGTTCCACGTAGGGTTGAAGGCTTGGACTAGTGAGTCCAATTTTAGATGTTACTACGCCCGAGACCCGTACGTGGAATGAACTAGCCCTCAAATATGAGTAGAATGCCAAAAATCATGGTAAAATGAACTCATATTGTTTTTACTTTTCGTATAAGGAAGTTGATTAATTCTTCTCTCCTGTTAAATTCAGGTCTACCCCAGGGCTCAGTTATCGTCCCCGAGAAGGATGTTTTGGATGAACCTACTGATGAGGCAAGGTTGTTGCAGGAGGCATTTACCCGAACAAATGTCTCCGGGCCTGCTCTAGTGCAAGTGCTTCTTCTCGGAGTCCCCGGCCGGAGAACAAGCAACTAAAAAGAAGACGTATAACGACCCGGTCGGTCGTTTTGAGAGTTAGAGCCCCGAACCCCTATTAACTGTTTTTTCCATATCTATTTCTGTTATTGTGACCTGTTTGGATGACTGGTTTTGAGTTTCAGAGTATTTTGGGACACTTAATCCCTAAATGTGAACTTAAGTCTTAAAATTTGGACCGTAGTCAGAATTGTATGAAGACGGTCCCGGAATGAAATTTTTGTCGGTTCCGTTAGCTCTGTTAGGTGATTTTGGACTTAGAGGCGTGTCCGGATTGTGTTTTGGAGGTCCGTAGCTTATTTAGGCTTGAATTGGCGAAAGTCAATTTTTTGGAGTTTTGGACTGGTAGTGAAATTTTTTATATCGGGGTCGGAATCTGATTCCGAAAGTTGAAGTAGGTCCGTAATATTTAATATAACTTGTGTGCAAAATTTGGGGTCAATCAGACGTGGTTTGGTTGGTTTCAGCATCGGTTGTTGAATTTAGAAGTTTCAAGTTCTTTGAGTTTGAATCCGAGGGCAATTTGGTGTTTTGATGTTGTTTTGAGTGATTCGAAGATTCGACTAAGTTAGTATGGTATTTTAGGATTGGTTGGTATGCTTGATTGAGGTCCCGAGGGCCTCGGGTGTATTTCGAATAGTGAACGGGTGAGTTGAGCTGTTAGAAAGATTTGCCGGTGTTCAGGTATGGGTCTCTGAAGTTGGGAACGCGGACCGCGGTGGAATTTCACGTCAGCGGTGGAAGTTCACGGGCGGCGGAAATTCCGCGGACAGCGGTGGAATTCCACGGGGGCGGAAAAGTTCCGCGGTCAGCGGAATGCTTTTCGCGGCCGCAGTGGAAATTCCGCGGACCGCGGTGAGGCGTTCGCGGGGGGCAGTGAGTTTTTCACGGTCAGCGAAATTGGAATCCGAGGAGTGCAATATAAATACTAGATTCAGGGTTTTATTTTTATATTTTGACCTAGAGAGCTCGGGTTTTGACGATTTTTCGAGGGATTTTCAAGAAAACCAACGGGGTAAGTGATTCTAATTCAGTTTTGGCTAAAATACATGATTATATCACTAATTTCATCATTTGATTCGTACTTTGGGGTGGAAAATTGGAGAAAATAGTAGAAACTTCATAAAATGGGTTTTGAGAGTTGAATGTCGATTCGAAGTCGGATTTTAATAAATTTGATATGGTTGGACTCGTGAGTGAATGGGTGTTCGTAATTTATAGTTTCTACCCGATTCTGAGACGTGGGCCCGGGGAGACTTTTTGGGCATTTTTTCTAATTTCACGTTTTAGCTTCGAATTAATTAGTTAAATTAGTTACTGGTAGTTATATTTATATTATGCAATTGATTTGAATAGATTCGGGCCATTTGGAGTCGGATACTCATGGCAAGAACATGATATCAAGTTGAATTGAGCTTGACTCGAGGTAAGTAGCTTGCCTAACTTTGTATGTGGAAAATCCCCTTAAGATTTGAAACTATTGTGATATATGAGCGCCGTGTACGTGAGGTGACTAGTATATACACGGGCTAGTTATGGTAAAACCCAATTTTCTTACTGAGCAGCAACATGTTTTCCTGTTATTTTGAGTTATACCATTTTAATGAGTACAAATCTATTTTCATTCTTAATTGAGTTATTCCAATATGTGTAGCTATCATGTTTAGTCTAATACAACATGTCTACGTGTCTTAATT